CCCCCTGGGCCGAGTTTCGGATGGGTGGTTGCTCTGCGCGCTTTTAAGTGAAATTATGAAAGGGCGTTAGGATAGCGGCGGCAGGGGAGAGGCGCAGTGGTTAGCGCACTGCGAGTGATATCTGAACCGGTGCCGGGCATCCCACACCACCACCGCCAACTAACGTAACTTCACACACGACGCAGCGAAACTAGCGCGGTGAAGTATGGTCACACAACCCCCCGTGACCGACATGGTTGAGGACTCCGTACTGCAGCGGATGGGCACAATGTCTGTGAATTATATCTAATACAAGCACGTGCTTATTGTAGTATGCAGAATGATTCTGCTTTGCGAACTTTTAAGTCAAAGGATGGAATGGTTTGGAGCGGTGGCGCAATGGTTAACGCACTGCATTGTGAACCCGGCTACCTGAGTTCGATTCCCTGCCACGGGTAACATCATTTGGCGAAGTGATATCTGATGCGGTCTTCAGCACCACCTCCCCACCCCCGTCCCGATCCTTCAACCCTCCTCCGCACTGACGAATGCGGTGAAGTATGGCCAAAGAAACCGCTTGACCGACACGACATGGAAAGGCTTTCATCCAGCAGTGGATTAACAAGGAGCAGTGAATCAGAATCTTTCTCTAGACTGGAGGAATCCGATGAGCTTCGAAGCTATTTTTGACAGTTGTCTGGTAGTTAAATTTGAATCACAGTTCCTATGACCACTGTTGTTTTTATAGCTTTATTTTGGTGATTTTGAAAACTTTTGGTTTAGCCATGTTTGTTTGTTGTAGTACAGAGTTAGCCTGAAAACTTTAATCTAAATTGTCTTATGGTTGTTAATGTTTGACTTGCATCCCACTGGGATTTTTGCACACATTGTTGAAATACGGTGTTTTTTCTGGAAGATTTTGCTGTTTTTTCCTGGATTTTTCTGTTGCGCGTAGTCACTTTAAGATGTTTCTTGTTCATGTTTTTGTTTTGTTGCGGTTGCACCCGAGTGAAGAGCCGCATGGCTCACAGGGTTAAACCAAATAAATGAAACTGAAACTGAAAAGTATTTGCAGATGTCCAGCCGTCAAAACACAGCGATCTTTATACCAGGTCAAACGAGACAGAAAAAAAATCACGTAGGTCACGTGAGCGTTGCACACAATCTTAAGTCATAATATATATCACTCAATTTTAAATACCAGCGACTGCGGGGATAACGATGTTCTATATATCGACTAATATCGATTATCTTGTCGATTATTCTAGCTCACTTTACATCCCTCTTTGCAAAACACACAGCCCTGAGACTAAGTGAGGCAATTCCCGTGTAAGTTAGCGAAATCGCAATCAGAATGCATAATCGAATCGTATGTATTATATTCGATTAGCCTATCGTGGATGCGTGTAAATATCCTGAAATTATTCATCAGTTCGGATTTATCCCAACCACCCCTCTTGCAGCCACTAGAGGCGCTACATTCACCACAGGTACAAGGCTCGTTGAAGGATTCGATTTGTGAACCGACACGTGCTTCTCAATCGCGTCTGTAGAAATCGGTGCTTTTTGGAGCTTCGTTTTTAAGCTGTTGAGGTGGCGTAATATTTTTCAGTTTCATTTATTAGGTATAACCCTGTGAGCCATGCGGCTCTTGACTCGGGTGCAACCGCAACAAAACAAAAACATGAACGAGAAAACATCTTAAAGTGACTACACGCAACAGACAAATCCTGGAAAAAACAGCAAAGTCTTCCAGAAAAAAAACACCGTATTTCAACGCTGTGTGCAAAAATCCCAGTGGGGTGCAAGTCAAACAATAACAACCATAAGACAATTCAGATTAAAGTTATCAGGCGAACTCTGTACTACAACAAACAAACAAGGCTAGACCAAACCGTTTTCAAAATCACCGAAATGAAGCTATAAAAACAATGTAACAGTGATCAATATTGACACTGCGGTAAAATGAAATTTTTGACAGTTGTCTGGTAGTTAAATTTTGAGCCCTTTAGGCCGGTTAGACTCCCCGTCCGATCGCCAACGCTGTCGTGCCGCACCTCCGTCGAGCACCGTTGGCTACTGCGTAGGGTGCGAAAGAAGTTCAACATACGTGCCAACCATCGAGGTGGCCGAATCGTTAAGGCCCCGGAATCACTTCAAGGGGAAATTATATAAAGGACGACGTTTTGGGCAAAATGGGTCATTGGGTCAAGAAGGTTTATTACCCGAAACGTGGCCTATGTGCTATGAGGAAGGAGCATCGCCCGAAACGTCGTGTATTGTATAATTTTCCCTTTAAAGGCCACCGTGTTATTGAGAGTTATAAAATCTGATTTATATATCCAGCGTCGTGAGCGCGACTTACAAACAAAAGGGATGACCACGTGGAACACTGCCGATTCGTTTAACACGCAGGCTTTCGCGACCCAATATCATTTTGGACTGCCGATTTTTCGACGTGCAACTGCCGCATTGCGCTCGCCGGCCACTCGACGAGGGGTGACGGAAGTCACTGTCGGAGGAATGTCTCGAGTATCTCGGCAGCCCGCACGCGTCACCCGCACCACGTCGGTTAGTTCACAGTCGCCACTGAAGTGTGTGATGGATGGGTGACGTCCCAGGGCAACGCGGCTCGAGGCGCTTCTTGGGGGGGGGGGGGGGAATCGAACACACGTGGTGTGGATTCACTGTGCAGTTCAATAGCCACTGTGCCACTTGTTAGTAACATTGAGTATAATAAGCTTGGAGTAGTTCCATGGGAAATTGCAATTCCCCCAAAAATGGAAAGCGCTGGCAGTGACCACTCCATATACTGACATAGAGACGCATAGACTCAATTAGAGGCCCATGGTCTTACAAAAGACCCAATGAGTAACTGGAATGCGCTGGCAAATTCATCATCAGCGTTTTCTCCAGCAGACGGGCGCTGGCAGTACACGCGGCATCCAAGAAGAACTGGTCTGGTGGAACCCAGCTCTGGATTCTCACCATCCTCCTCATCACCACCACCACAACAATTATCAATGAAATCCACCTGCATGCGTTATCACCTGACACTCGAAAACCAGAAGCGGAATATGTTGCCTTCTTAATCTGGAGCCACAAATCCGCCAAATGGTAAAACTTTTAATTTACGTTGCCGTATGAGCGAAACCAATCAGCCTGCGGGCTATAATAATGATGGAGACCACATTTTTTCAGAAATAGTTTTTCGATTTTATTCTCTTTGAAACCAAATCTCTCATGTTAGTGCCAAATATCATCTTCCTAGCCATTCCAGAACATCACTACAGAGTTTCTCAAACTCCAGCCCTGCCATCCCCCCATATTGTATAATTTGGAATTCACCAATTTACCTCCCTGCAAATAATAATTAGGTAAATGTTGATTTAAAGCTTCCGTGACTGCAGTGATTCATACTCTTGGTTCTTTCGGTAAAGTCACGTTGAAGAGAAACAATAAAATAATAAAATATATTAACATATAATAATTAGGTAGTTACACGCTGCACGCGCCTCGTCATTGCTAAACAATAAGCCCTGCATGACGGAGAGAAGCCTGATTACTTTTGTCCACGCCACATGGGACACGCCGCACACACAACGGCATAGGCAAGACGTCTATACATTTTAATTACCCCCCCCCCCACCACCTATATGGCAAGTTGGGCTATTGTTTAATCAAGAACGAGGCACGAAGAATAATGGTAAAGACAAATAGAGGAACGTGGCGACGAGAGTTTGATAAGCCCCGAGTGAAAGCGCGGATCGGATTCTTAAAACTCCATTCCATGGAGCCGTGCTCCGTTCCGTATTTCCACGTTCGCCAAAGATTTCCATGCGAGATGTTTAAGTCGACGCACGCCGCCCATGAAATCGTGGGCTGGCACCTGAACTGCCCAGGACTGGAGTCTGGCCGACACCGGCTGAACGGGCGCCGCGGCAGCGAGTTGTTAACTCCCTCGCCTGGTATGCAGGAGGTCGTGCGTTTGATCCTCGATGCTGACGCCTGATGTATAAATTGGGAGTTTGCGGTGTGTTTCTCTCCCCGTGGTCGCGTTGATTTTTTTCCGGGTCCTCCGGGTCTTTGTTTTTTCCCCCCCAACACATTTACCAACACGCGTTTAGAGTATGTGGCTGCTATAAACTTCCACGTAATAAGCCGCCCCTTCGTTGAGCCATCATTTGCGGCCAGGTCGCTTCTGAAACATAGCTATATAGCACAGGTGTTCTTAAGTGGTTCCGACCACACCACGCCCTCGTACTAGCATTCATAGTTGCTCACGAAAAGCAATTAACCAACAGCCCATGTGGCCTACACGTGGGATCGTTTTGTTTACTTTATTTTCAGTATGTCGGTGAGGAGCGGTGGCGGTTTGGTTCGTGCGCAACTCCCCAATAAATCCCCGTGACCTGGGTTCGATTCCCGACCACGGATATCAAAGAGGATCGGACGTTCATATGATCCCGGCCTGGCCACCTGCTTTGTCAACTCAGCCTTAAATGAGTATCCGGCGAGAGGTTTGCAATCGTCATCACTGGAGAAACAAAGGCTGCCGTGCTTTGATCACATCACACCTCTCCTGCAGGGGCGTGCCAACCTTAATAGGTGCTCGCCGACAATTGATCAGGCGAGCCCCACGCGATGAAGCCACGTGTTTTGCGCCCCCATGTACAGTATGCATATCAGTGAGAGTGTGTGTGTGTGTGTGTTCCTACGTGGGGAGCGGTACTTTAGTGGCGAGCGCGCTACCCTACAAACCCGTGCCACCCGAGTTCGATTCATGCTCACGGCCAACGCCAGTGACGAATATCTAAACCAACTTTGTGGGCTTCCATTTGGTCGGGTCAAACTGAAATGGATACCTGGTGCGGTGTGTGAAGAACAGCACTGGGGAGAAAAATTGGGCCGGGCGTGGCGTTGGTCACCCACCCCCTCGTGTGCCGCGCGTGCCTTCATAGTTGCTCTCGAACAGCACTTGCCCGCAATAGTCTGGTAGAGGCTATACGGGGGATCTTTTTCACTACGTTTATGCGCGCGCGCGCGCGTGTGTGCACACCTACAACAGCCAGCGCGGGCAGCAGCAGTAGCCGCAGCAGCCGCGGCGCTGTTGGGGCGAGTTTACGCATTCATTATCGCCCCGCTCCGGAGTTCCCCGTGTCTTCCTCCTACACCACCACCACCTACTTCTCATCTTCACCACAATCATCATCATCATCATCCTACTCCCCCCCCCCGCCTACACCCGACGATATCAAGACGAGGGGAGAGTACGCGCCTGGACAGCCGTAGCAGCAGCAGCATGGCCGGGCAGTTGCAAGGGGTTCAGGTCCCGGACGATTCGGCGTTCATCTCGTTCCGTGCGCAGTGCGACTCGGACTCGGGCTGGTTGCAGTGCTACAGCCGCGGCGGGGTCACGGTGTGGTGCCAGCCCCCGGCAGAGGGCCAGTCCGTGCAGAAACTCAAGGTGCGTTCGGGCAGGCGGGATTTGGCATGATGTGGGAAGTGTGTGTGTGGAGAGAGAGAGAAAGATTTGGGAGTTGGATTCCCAGTCACGATGAATATCAATGGAAAGTGGTAACAGAACGTGCGTTTGTCTTTGTGTAGAGAGAGAGGGAGTCATTAGTAGTTCGATTCCCGGCCACGGTGTGTGGGCGTGGAGACATGTTCAGTGTCCAGTCACGATGAGCAGCGGTGGCAAGTGGAATCAGAACGTTGGTGTGTGTATGTATTATGTATGTGGGGAGCGGTAGTGTAGTGGTTAGCGCACTGCGCTACGAAACCTGGTGACCCGGGTTCGAGGTCGACTCAACCTCAAATGAGTACCTGCTGCGGTGTGTAAACATCGCCACTGGAGAGACAAAGGCGGCTGGGCGTGTTGTTGGCCACCCACCCCCTTGTGCGCCGTGCTGGCCTTGAAAGGTGCTCGCTAACAGCACTTGCCCCAACAGTCTGTCACAGGCTATACGGGGGATCTTTGTCTTTTATTTATTGTTGTGGGAAGAGGTGGCGTGCAGTGGTTAGCGCACCGCGCTACGAACAGGGCGACCCGAGTTACGATTCCCGCTCACGACCCATTTCAGTGACGATTATCCTGGGGGCCTCCCCTAGAACGACTCGGCCCCAAATGTCTTTGTCGTGTAACGATACTCCGTGGACAGCGGTGTGGGTTTTGTGTGCCTCTTGTGAACATCTCCATGCAGTGGAAACTTTAATTAATAGCTAATAAACAGAAGGTGTTTGCTTTTAAGTCGGTAACTCTTTGTTATATGCACGTGCCTGTTTTTCCACTTGCCTGATAATCCTCCTCGGGGGGGGGGGGGGGGTGGTTATTCCTCGCACCAGGGCCCATGCCAACCACACTGACGTGCTCGGCTCACAATCAATTATCTCCTGGGTCGATAAAACCGGTGCCAACCTTGTGAGAAAAAAGTTGCCGCCTGTTCAGGTTTCTTTAATATGAATAGATAAAGTGTATTGCAGAGTTGTATCTATCCTAGCCCTTGACATAGCAACGTGGAATTTCCGCAACCGTAGGAAACTAACCTACTCTCTTGAAAATACTTTTCATCTCAATGTGCTCCCTTGATTCCATATTCGGATAACTTTTTTAACAGTGATAGATAAGTGGCTGGGAGGGCTTTATGCGAGCGAATTACATATATTATGAACGCATCTAAACAAAAATATAATCTTACACGTGTGATTCGACATGTGTCCTGAGCTCAATGATGCGTTATATTCGATTACCTATTCGATTAGTCGCCACACCCCTAGTAGTCATCGTTACGATGCACGGGCATATATCCCCCGGAGATGTCCACTGCACATTTCGTAATTTGTCTCCACTTTCCTCTCTGTCTTGTGCCAATAGGCTCGCGTCGTGGCCACGTCTTTCTGGTACCGATCTCTCACGTCGCTTTATTCTCTGGCAGGGGGGGGGGGGTCTCCGAGTCGTACACAGCCACGCGTGTGTGGCTGCCACAGAGGCCAACCTCCTACAGTGGCGTTGTCGTACAATGCTCAATGAATCGGCTGCGTCATGGCGCTGCGCATTATGCAGGGTGCTTCAAAAAATGTTGAACACTTTTTACATGGGACTGTCGTTGCTAATGGGAAACTAACGGATCATACAATGCAACATGGTAATAAATGTATATTAATAGCTTCAAAAAGTCAAAGAGTCTCCCACTTGTTACGCCTTCATTGTCAACGCGTGGCCTGGAATCTTCTCCAGGTGTGTCTCCAGAGCCCCGGAGAAGGCGGCACATTTCTCGTGGCGTTGTTGCAAATTCTCCGGAGTGTTAACATTTTTCCGAGGCACCTTATATTACAGCCAATTCACGCAACGGTGCAAAAACGACCGTCAGGATCCACCGCCACAGATCGATGGATCCACCGGCTCCCCCGGAGGTAGCCAGAGGAGATCCGTCACAACCCTGGCACACTGCCCCGCACTCGCTAAATCGACGTTGCGTTTTACGTTGTATAGGAGCCCCCCCCCCCCCCCCCCCCCCATCAGTCCATCCGTGGGTATTTAGGCTTCACAGGGCAAATCCCACACACAGTACAGGAGATGTACACCAGGGACACACTTCATTGTCTGACAACCAATCCATACAGCGGCGTCTGTCCACATTATCGTGAGCGCGTGCGGATGGAGGTGACTGCTCGTGGCATTGGCGGGCACACTGAGAGATGGAGAGCTTCTCCGCCTCTCCCGGACAGTAGATCGGTGACGATGTAATCGATTCTAATTGATTTGCACGCCGCGGTGGCCGAGTGGCTTAATGGTCAGAGTGCTGAACGCCCCCCACCCCCCACCCCACCTTGCTTCTCCACTGAGTTATCAATCATAGATTGAAACAAAAATATTTTGAACTGAATTTTTTGTTAAGTGTGTTGTCTTTTCCTTCCACACCTCCGATTAGCACGGTTGGCGATGTACGGGTTGAATGAAATTCAACATACGTACACCGGGCATTAGTGACTACACATCCACACACAAAAATCGCGTAACTTCTAGCAAGGAGAGTTAAAAATAACTTTCCCGTAAAACCAAGAGCACTATCGGGATAAAGTTGTGGGTTGAAATGAGTGGAAGAACACGGTTTACGCTTGCGGGTTATGCGTGCGAGTCGAGTAATTTACGGTTTGTGAAACGAAAACACTCGTGGTACATTTAGGCTGACGGAGAGAACACAACCGACGAGTTTGGACAAATTTAGAAATAATAAAAACGAGTCTGAAATTGGATGACGAACGTGCGAGAGAGTTTGCAATCGGCGCGTGTTAACTGCGATGACGTACAATTCAGGCACACGGCCGTGGAACACAGAGAAAGGGAGCGGATTCGAATTTATTGTTAAGTTTTCAAATAAGCGAAGAGAAGACGCGCGCCTGCGATTGTCACCGAGCAACGGCAAGAGGGGAGCGCATGGACACGCGAGTGGGCCTAGGGAAGGCCGATGGCCAAGAATCGTCGCGGACTTGCAGCCAAAGGAGGGAACGCATCCGGTAGGTTTCGACCGCCAAAGGGATGGAGCGACGGATGTTGCCTCGTGTTTGCAGGTGCTCTGGTTGGATTATTTACATCACGGGATTGTGATAGGCGGCGGCGGTGGTGGCGGCTTGAAGAGGCCATCATCCAGCAGTGGATTGACCAAGGCTGAAAAGGATGGATAATAGAAAGACAAAGACCCCCCCCCCCCCCCGCCCGTATAGCCGGATCAGACTGTTGGTGCAAGTGCTGTTCGCGAGCACCTATAAAAGCCGGAACGGCACACGAGGGGATGGGTGACCAGCACGGTGCCCAACCGCCTTCGTCTCCTGAGTGGCGATGTTTACACATCACACCAGGTACTCATTTAAGGCTGAGTCGATCTACGGGAGGCCCAGGACTAGTTCAGATATTCGTGACCGGTGTTGGCTGTTTAGTGGGTATCTAACTCGGGTCACCGTGTTCGCAGCGCGAGATGTTACACAGATATCAATATCCCCCGTATAAACCTTTAACAAAATGTTGGGGCAAGTGTCGTTATTAGCGAGTAGCACCTAATGAAGGCCGGAACGGCACACGAAGGGGTGGGTGGCCAGCACCACAAAAGACAAAGATCCCCCGTATAGCCTTAACCGACTGTAGTGACAAGTGCTGTTAGCGAGCACCTATGAAGGACCTGCACGGTACACGAGGGGGTGGGTGGCCAACGCCACGCCCGGCCGCCTTTGTCTCCCCAGTGGCGATGTTTACACACCGCACCAGGTACTCATTTGAGGCCGATTCGACCTTGGGAGGCCCAGAACCGGTTCAAATAATCGTCACGGGGTGTTGGCCGTGAAGGCGGGAATCGAACTCTGGTCACCGGGTTCGTAGCGCAGCGCGCTCACCGCTACACCACCGCAGGCAGAAAGACGCACGCACGCGCGCGCACTTAATCTACCCATCCAAGGCTTGCGAGGTGGCCGATTGAGTGCCGTGCGCTGAGCGCTCCCTTTGATGAGCGCGTCACTCGCGAGCAAGCGGACGCAGCTGTAACTGATAGGGCTCGGTCTATTAATTTAGCACAACAACACACGGGGAATCGCGTTTCGCTGATGCGTGGTGGGGCGGGCGGGGGAGGCGAACAGCGACCGCGTTTCCACCGAGAGGCTTTGATGAGGGCAGCCAGCCAGCAGGTTGTTAACTACCTCGCCTGGTATACAGGAGGTCGTGGGTTCCATCCCAACCCTGACGCCTGTTGGATATTTGTAGTTTGCGTGTTCTCTCCCCCTGTGGTCCTCTGGTTATTTTTCCCTCCACATTTAGAATGGTGCGTTTAGAGAGTATTTGGCGGCTGTAAATTTCCACGTGATAAGCCACTTTGTTGGGCTATCAGTGGACCTTACCTGGCAAAAATAGAAATAGTTTTGATAATTTAATAGTTTGCCCGTGACCTGGACGTGGTGTGCGGAGGCCCACATCCAGCGGAGGGTTGACATAAGGGTAGAACATTTTTGTTGTGAATTAAAACCTCATTATTTATAAATAACTGGCAAAGGGGGGGATGCCTTTATGTTATAATACATTATTATATCAGTGCCCAGACTTTAGATGAATATTAATTACAATTGCAGCATCCACTGTTAGCTGAACCTACAATTCCATCGTGATTACAATTAATTCCGAATGACTCAATTACCGCTGTAATTTACCCAGGTCTGTAAATGTCCCCCAATACGTATGTGCTGACTATGGGGCTTTTGGCTAAATCTCCATCCATACATCTCCAAACTTGAGCTCTCTTATTCATCCCTTCTGTCTTCTTCCCAACATCCTTCCCTCTGGAACATCCTTCAAGTATTATCTAGAGTATACTCTTTGGTTCTATTCGGTAAAGTCACGTAGGTGGCCGAAACATCGTAATTTTTGTTGTTTTATTTTTTACCTACGTGACTTTACCGAATTGAACCAAAGAGTATGGATCCTTG